CACTATAGATCAAGATATTACTGGACGGATTACAGATCTTAACAGCAACTTGTCCACGTCTGTAGCAACACATAAAGCGGTAAAAAACTACTCACAGTCACGTATATAGGTCATAGTTAACTGGATTACCCTATGACCCTCTTCTTCGCGTGTATCTGTTTGGTTGCGTGGTGGTTCGCTTTTACGGTACATAGTAGCATACAGAACCCAACGAGACTGCCTACAATGTCAATTAGTCGTTTTGCTGTGCGTCTTTTCTGACCGAGTATCTTATTACATGTCACTGTCCAATGTAAAGATCTATTAATTCATGATAAATATGAATCCTACATGCATTATAAATATGTGAAATTCACAATCTATATCAGCGAAGCATAGGTGTTCTTTTTCATGTTCTGCTAACGATCGATTAGTCTTACATCAACTTATAACTATTACGGCTCCATTGTTGTCAGCTACAATGGCTAAACCAGCTTAAGATCGTAAAGTAACACTTTATACATACATATATACATTTTAGTTTATGATTCAGCCTTGGGTAAGACTTTTATAGTCTATGGCTATGACGCCCATAATGCTAAACGGGAGCAAATGTTAATAGGGGACCCAATTATCCCAGTGGTGGCCGCCGGAGCTAACGGAGCAGCAGGGGGCTAGCTCCAGCCGGCGTCCCGGAGCTAGCCCACAGCGGCTCCGTTAGGTCCGGGCGATGGAGTCCGTCGTTATAACTGGAGATCAAGGAATGCAGCGAAACGCAGACTTGGTTCGCCTGCTGTAGTATTAGCTAAATAAATTATGTTGAACAAGGCTTATTAAGCTGAACATCGCCACAATTGTTCTGCTATGTATCGGTACTTCTTTTCTTAACGTGTGAATGACAAGCATTAAGAATAACAAAATATAGCTAGTTCTCTTGCAGATTGTCTCATTTGATTATGAATGCAACATCTATATAGGGGAACTACACTGTTAGCAGTAACTTGGTATGCATGTATTTCATGTTAGCTTAGCTTCTTAGCCTGAGCTAGCTCTGTTTACTTCCAGTTCGGAGGCAGCAGGTCCCGCCTCGGCTCCGCCTCTTTGCCCTTATTTGGAGCAGGCGGGATTAGACTCTGACGTCACTGTCGAGCCGTTAGTGGCCGACTCCGCCTACTAAGGGCTTCTCGGCAACTCTGCAGAATCCTATGGGTGACGTCACGGACACTACGTCCATTTATATATACAGTCTAGGATTACAACCAATGCAATCCATCTCATCACTCACTTTTGCTTTCCACATAACCTTTTTGAACTGCTAGCAACCAAAGCCGGTTCATAGGTGATTTGTCAATAAGGCCGTTCGTACAAACCAGAAGGCTTCCGACAGGCCCTTATGCCCACAGATGAGTTTATAGAGATTAAGTGGTAATGACTCTTACTCAGTTGACTCATTTTCAAGTACTATAGAAAACCTATAACTTGTATTCTTATTCAACTAAAAGATTTAGAGGATTACGCAGCCTTGGTAGGGAGATTGTTCTTATTATGGATAGTGGGAAAATTCACTCACATCTCTGTTGTCATCATGAACCGGTTCGCACACGGAGGAGTTATTCTGAATCCTCACTTTTCTGAAGATCATTGCAGGAACAGATGCCAACATCACCAGCACCCACACCACGGCCAGCACCCATATTACAGTCTTCCGGCCGGTGATCAGAGTGACGCGTCGCGGCCACAGCACTGCAACCAGCCTGTAGATGCTCATTAGCATGATAAGCTGGATGGATGCGTACATGTTGACCAGACACAGGTAGAAGAGGAGCTTACACATCACATTCCCAAACACCCAAGTCTTCATAATTAGGTAGGTGACGAAGAATGGAGTGAGGGCCATCAGAGAGCCGTCGGCGATAGCTAGGTTGAGGATGAGGAGGGTGGTGACGGAGTGCTTTCGGGCACGTGCCAGGACGCTCCAGATTATGAAGAGGTTTCCAGGGAAGCCCAAGAGAAAGACTAGGCTCAGGATTAGGGCGCCCACCGTGGTGCCAGCGCCGGTATCCACGATGGGTGAGGAAGGTGTGGTGATGTTAAGGATGGGAGGAACGGTAATCTGTGCCATTTTTGGGATCTGCCAAAGAGAGAATCATGGTAAATGCTTTTAATGTTTAACATTTAGTAATTCATTTAAAGTGAAAATGAAGGATATATAACATTATTGGATAGAACCTTTTACTGAGTTAGGGTCATATCACTTTTAGCAAACACCCTCACAAAGCAAATGAAAGCAGTCATTACATTGAATCAATATAAGACAATGTTTCTAGGGCCATTTCTTAAACAAGTGACTATAATATGAATGCATTTTTGTACCGAAAAACAGGCAGAAGAAATGCCAAAGTGACTTTAATACATTTCATTACTCAAATGAACGGACTTTTTAAGAGCCTCACCTCTGAATCCTTCCCAATGTTTAATAAGACGTCAGTTTGACAATACAGTGTATGAGTAGTTATTTCTGCAGGAAAGCGTAGGAGTCTAACAGGTTTTAACTGTGAATCTTAATTCCTGAACAACGAGACCAGACATGAGTAAAGAGCAACAGTCACTGTGTCGGATTCCGTATTGGAGTAATAATTCATACATACATAACAATTATAACAATTTAACCTGGAATAACATCCCATGAAGAAATGACTAAAATCAACACTTAATTGATAGTACTAACACGCACTTTTTTTGTATCCAAGGCCTGATATAACTTATTATTTTGATCCAATGAGCTTTGTTTTTGTTGTTAAAGACTAATAAAAACACATCAATGACTTGCACTGTTGCACTGGATTTAATGTTACCTGTTACCTAGATCGTTTAGAGATAATCCCATAAACACGTCCTCCCACTCTATTAACAGACTACAACAGAAAACATATATTCAACCACAGCAGCAATTGCCCCTGGCTAATGAACATTTTGCTTCTAGTTGGCTCCAATTTCTTTAAACATATAACGCCCTGCTGTTTAAGGAAAGTAACTTTAGAAGTCCAAGTTTGTACAGGGAGATGTTTTAAAAAGATATAACTTTATTATAATGACGTTTAGCCTTGGGGACGTGCACAACAGTCTAACAGGACTAACTGGATGTCACTGGAGTTGTTGTTTCATAGAAAGTGTTTATATATTAATAAAATACTTTCAACCGCCTTATTAAGAGACTTATATTCTTGCAGCACTTTTTAATATATATTCTTTTTATGGAAGCCAATTTGCATGGTGCAGAAATGTGAGGTAGCTCTCAGCAGTAAATACCAAGAGATATTTAAACAGTTCATACAACAGATGGTCTGTATTGATCATGTAGGCTGCTGCCGTGCAACAAGTTGTACTTACCTGTTTCATGTTGCTGGAAAACATTTTCAAAAGTGACATGTCATCACTTGTTCAACATATCTTGAGTATTATTTTAGGAGCACACCCTTTAGGCGCACACTCAAATAATCACACCCTCATCTGCAAAGCAAACCTTTCAATATTTTTTATATATTTAATCTTGACAACCAGACATTTGTTTAGTTTTAGAGACATTTACTTTAAAAAAAAAAAAAACTGCTCCTATAGCCTACATTTCTATCATATGTAAGAGGGCAGGACCTTGAGGACTGTCGCCTTGCTGTAAAAGTTGTGTTTATTTATTTATTTTATTTTAACAATTTGGCCCTTAGCTATGTTTGGGGTTTTATTTGTCTGTTCGGTTGGTATTCAAATGAAAAACAGTCTATTTTAAGTGAGATTCTTGTAAATTCATTAATTGACCACATTTAAAAAGAGTGCAAAATAAAATGCAATAAGATTAATTCACTAATAAATTAGGAAATGTCCAAGTGTTAAAAAGATTCAAAGCAATATCGCATTCATGATAATAATCGTTGTAGCTAGAGACTATATCTTTTTCAAACTAAGACTTAGAAACATATTGACATTGTCAACAGTGAATAATTCAAGATTATTTTTCTTTAAAATAATGTATAGCTGTAATGCTGATGATGTGACAGTGTTCAATTGAAATGTTCTTCTCTACCGCATTAAAGAAATATTGTTTAATAGAAGAATTTCCCCCAACTTTCAAAGGATAAGAGAGACAAAGATTAAACCACATGGCAGTGTTTACAGAAAGCCGGTCAAACCACATTGACAGTCGCATCAAAGCACCAGTAGTGAAACTGCGTAATATTGTGCAATAGCCCTAAAAATGACACACTACACCATCAAGTTGGCGACACTGTCATACTGAATCATCTCGGCCTTTGGTTTCCTTACAATACAAACAATAAAAGTTTGCTTCTTCCCCAATTCTTTACTTTTTATTGTCATTCGTACAAATAGAGCTCCCCTTAGTGACCACATCACAGACTATAAAATCTGACTGACTCAAAAGGTGTGTTTGTGTGCATTGTGTGACTCACGCAAATACCTACTTAAACGTCTGTTCTGCCTACAAAAAAAGACAATTGTACAACACTAGCTACAGGTTTAGTTACACAAATTGCCATGTCGTTCCAATTTGAAGAAATCTCAGCTGTCAGGCGAAACTGGCAATAATGGCAAAGACTATGAAAAACGCCTTTTATAACTTAAAAAATATACAGCAATTTAAAGCAAAACAGAATGCGATTAAACCTTAAGAAAACGTTCTAGTTTCTCCGCCAACATTTGCAGGGACACAGTTGATTGCCGTGATTTGTTGGCAGTTGTGACCACACTGTCGTTGGTGACGGAAACCAAAACATGAATGAGCAGGAAATTGAAACAGACTCACCTCAAGTTATCCACAGTAATTGTCAGGTGAAGAAAGAAGACACTGAGCTCCAAAAGAAGTCTGAATCTTTTGTTAATGTAAATGTTTTCTCCCTTTTCTTTTTACCCTTTCCTCCCCGTGTTTTCCCCCCACCCACTCTCTTACTCTGTGTTTCTCTCTCTGTGATTGATTTGTCATGCTTGCTGTAACATGTAGCGCTGTGTTAGGGGAAGGTGTGTCCCCATTACCTGGCCTGCCTCTGCCCAGGCAGTCTGTCAACATCCTCACATCGACAGAGGAATTTCATCCGTGTGTGTCGAGTTAAAGGGTTACTCTTTTTCTCCCTAATGGCATCTAGCCATGCAGAGCACCGCTTTGAGCACACACAAACTAGAATTGCACCCACATTGTGTCAAAGTGGTAGCAAAACAACCCTACAAAAGTGTGTGGAAACCCAGAGGTAGAGCATGCATTTACCATTTTTTCTTTTACTTGTAAATATATGTTACTTTATACTCTACTGTTTTCTACTCATAAACTAATGACATGTTTTCCAGTTGATGTCGACCAGAAATCTTTTTTGGGGATAGAAATGACCTGCACATGGTCTATTGATCCTCCTTAGCATCGGTCTGTTCTCCTTAGCAACCGGTCTGTTAACCTCTGAAATGTCCAAACTGACCAATCAGAATTGAGTATTAAATTAAGCTCTGTAATAAGATCACATAAGATGATATAAGATGAATCGTGATAGATCTTGTAGGGAAAAGCAGGTTTTGAAAAGCAACAGCTTAAATATTGAAAGGACAAACAAGGCTGTATATAACATCAGAAATACATTTAGCTCAAGCTGTTATACAGGTGCATCTCAATAAATTAGAATATCGTGGAAAAGTTAATTTATTTCATTAATTCAATTCAAAAAGTGAAACTCATATATGATATGGATTCATTACACACAAAGTGAAATATTTCAAGCCTTTATTGGTTTTAATCTTGATGATTACGGTTTACAACTAATGAAAACCCCAAAATCAGTATCTCAAAAAATTTGAATATTGTGAAAAAGTTCAATATTGTAGACTCACAGTGTCACACTCTAATCAGCTAATGATCTAAAAACACCTGCGAAGGTTTCCTGAGCCTTTAAATGGTCTCTCAATCTGGTTCAGTAGGCTCCACAGACAAGACTGCTGACTTGACAGTTGTCCAGAAGACAGTCATTGACACCATCCACAAGGAGGGTAAGCCTCAAAAGGTCATTGCTAAAGAAGCTGGCTGTTCACAGAGTGCTGTATCCAAGCATATCCATAGAAAGTTGAGTGGAAGTAAAAAAGGTGGTAGGAAAAGGTGCACAAGCAACAGGGATAACCGCAGCCTTGAGAGGATTGTCAAGCAAAGGCCATTAAAAAATGTGGGGGTGCTTCACAAGGAGTGCAGGCTGGAGTCAGTGCATCAAGAGCCACCACGCACAGACGTATCCAGGACACGGGCCACAACTGTCACATTCCTCGTGTCAAGCCACTCCTGAACCGTCAGAAGCGTCTTAAGGAGAAAAATAAACGGTCAAAGTCCTCTTTTCAGATGAAAGTACATTTTGGTTACTCAGAGCCAAATTAACATGACATTGAGTGCTCATTTATTGGGTAATAATGCTGACTGTATTGATTTAAAAAACATAGCCAGAGGATACTTGTTATTCCTGTTCAAATTATCCTCAGTATTTCACCATTACTACATTTCAAACCTTCACATTTTCCTCAGCTTGGTTCAGCTTCTGCATCTCCCTCTCTTTCAGCTGGACGCTCTCCTTGACCGCCTTTTGACTTTTAACCAGTTAATTATAGAAGAAAGAAAGAAATAATGATTATTACCTGCAAGACTGGAAGGGTTGGCGCCAAATTACAACAATTAAAACTACATTTTGACATGTCTGGAAAAGCTAAACAGGAGTGTGAAGATGGAAAGACTTATTAGTCATACAGGATTCAGGCTCTTGTTTTACCTCGACCTCAGCCTTCTTTTCTGAAACTGAAATGGTTTTGTAACAATCAAATCAAACAGAATTACCTCCACAACTATTACCACAATCAGGACTACTGTTTTAGAACATTTGCAGACAATGGAGCCCTGGGCAGATGCAAAATGCCCCAAAACGTAAATATGTTTTTTGACTATTTGTAGTTGTTACGAAATCTCTCTGCAAGTTTGCATTTCACAAACAAGAACTTCTCAATAGGATTGGGAGATAAAGGGTAACACTAAAACAGGGAGAGAGGAATGTTACAGGGGTTTCATTTTGTGTTTGTTTACAGGAAAAGGTATGGGAAAGCATTTATGTAGCCATTTTAGTATTAGTTAAGTAGAATGATTAGTTCTACCCTCACCTCCGCCAGCATGTTCCTCCACAGAGCAGGCCTCAGGGTGAAGGTCTTGAAAGAAGGCATCAGGGTGAAGGTCTTGAGAGCAGGCCTCAGGGTGAAGGTCTTGAGAGCAGGCCTCAGGGTGAAGGTCTTGAGAGCAGGCCTCAGGGTGAAGGTCTTGAAAGAAGGCCTCAGGGTGAAGGTCTTGAGAGCAGGCCTCAGGGTGAAGGTCTTGAAAGAAGGCCTCAGGGTGAAGGTCTTGAAAGAAGGCCTCAGGGTGAAGGTCTTGAGAGCAGGCCTCAGGGTGAAGGTCTTGAAAGAAAGCCTCAGAGTGAAGGTCTTGAGAGCAGGCCTCAGGGTGAAGGTCTTGAGAGCAGGCCTCAGGGTGAAGGTCTTGACAGAAAGCCTCAGGGCGAAGGTCTTGAAAGAAGGCATCAGGGTGAAGGTCTTGATAGCAGGCCGCAGGTTGAAGGTTTTGAGAGCAGGCCTCAGGGCGAAGGTCTTGAAAGAAGGCCTCAGGGTGAAGGTCTTGAAAGAAGGCCTCAGGGTGAAGGTCTTGAGAGCAGGCCTCAGGGTGAAGGTCTTGAGAGCAGGCCTCAGGGTGGAGGTCTTGAGAGCAGGCCTCAGGGCGAAGGTCTCCATGCACTGCGGGAAGCTGGACTCTCCCTTCTCCTTTTCACAGTCCCAGAAACCCTCCAGGCATACTGAGCGGCAGAACTGATTCCAGTCCAGTTCTACTCCACATTGCTTCTCTTGCTGATGTTGTTTATATTGAAATACTTAGAAACTCCCTGCTTTATCCAGAAGGTTGGATAGTGAAGTGTAAGGATCAAGGGTCAATGACCTCCAACTTTGATTGACCTTGTCGACCTCATCTGAGTGCTCCATTAAAGTGTAATGTGCTTTAGAGAGCCCCCTGTTGATCAAAGCTTGTATGTGCAGGGTTCAATAGTCAGGCCTACAGCCACATTGTAACACACAGAGATATAATTGGGATGTTTAACCTAAGTAAAAGTAATAATAATATTTCACGGTGTAAAAAATACTTTAATAAAAAATAATTTAGTGAAAGTCCCTCATGCAAGATTTAACATAAACGTACAAAAGTATCCAAATGTAATTGAGGTACAAAAAGTAGAACTACTACTCTCTCCACACAAGCTTATTTCAAAATAACTTGTTATATATATATATTATTGAATTATCATAATTCATCCATATTGATTGATCCTCTTATCTTTTATGTTGGTGCTGTCGGAAGAGTTTTAGTTTATTTTTTATATACTGACAAGCAGCTTTTGAATTTCAACAACTATTGCTAGTTATAGTTTGTATTTTTATTTGAATTGTTTTAAAGTAAACATAGAATTATAGTAGGATATTTGTTTCTTGAAGGTAGATTGGCATAACACAATGCAGCAGAACATTGATTTATGGAAGCACAGTACTTAGAATTAATGTACTTTCACCATGACTAGTCAAACAAAATGGACACATGAGAAAGGTTGTGTGCAATCACTGCTTTTATTGTTGAAAGACAGATTTATAACAGAAAATAGTTGCATCATGATACAGAAAAACATGTCAAAGAAAAGAAAAGACAATCATTATCCCACACCTTGACGTATTGTCCAGATTCAAAACCCCACTGTCAGATCATTGAACATAAATGCAGTACGAACATATTTAAATAGATTGCATAAGCCCACTTTTATTATATTATAACGATTTTGACTTTATTTACAAATGAGTATAGAGATTTGACGCTTTGAAAATAAACGATTACCTCCACCTATTATGCTTGTATTGTTTAGATCAAGTTGTGTTCGTCAGTGCCTAGATATTATTCCCTTATGCATTTGTGTAATATTAACAATGAATCAAGTGAATATGCATACGTTTAATTTGTCACTCTTAGCGTCAAACACACAAATAATTATTACCTAACTCTTTTTGTTCCCTCAGCTCTTTATGCAGCCTTTTTACGCTTATTTTGGTTTTCTGACCCGCTAATCATTGTTGGAAAAGTACCCAGAACCTTTAAAAGTACAAACACTTATGTCTTAAAAATACTCCACTACAAATAAAAATCAGTTATTTATATTTTTACTGATGTTACACAATGACCCGTTTCAGAATTACAATTACAAGTCCAGAAATATTATCAGCTAAATTTACTTCAAGTATCAAAAGTAAAAGTACTTGTTATGCAGAATGGATGTCTTCATTATTATTATTATACTGTTTGTAAGAGTATTTTAGCATTGATACTTGAAACACTGTGTTGATTAGTACTACCGTACTGCATTATGTCATAGCAGCAAATCAAGAGTTTTTATATATACCAAGTAAACAAGTGTCAAAATAAATGTAGTTGAATAAAAAGTATGATATTTGCTTCTTAAATGCAGCATAGGCATAAAGAAGTGTTAAATGGAAAGAGTCAAGTAAAGTGCAATTATGTAAAAAAAAAAAGGACTTAAGTACAATACTTGAGTAAATGTACTTAGTTACTTTCCACCACTCTCGCTTACTCTCATCAAGCTTGTTTCTAGCCTCAGCAGAAAGTGGTTTTATTCATAAAGTTGTGACAAACCCACTGTTCTCTACCTGCTTATGAACATAGAAGTGCATTGAGCAGCTAGAGAACCAGAAACACGCCCTCAAAAGGTCGTTATTTCCGCTTAAAATGATCTTTCCCTTTTTCTATGACATCATTTGCTTTTTCCATGACAGCATTATATGACATCTCGGCTGCCTCCATTGGTGTTTTAGCTCCCTCTGATGCCTCCAATCCGATCATTCCACCTGCCACTCCCCCTGCTACAGCGAACCCAATTGTTGCTACAGCTAAAACTGTTCCAGCAACTCCCAGGCCTCCTCCGCCTACTGCTGCAGTCCCTCTCAATGTTTTCATCTGTTTCAGGACATTCATGAATCCTCCGGCGCTATGCAGGGCTGTGATCACAAGCCCAACCATAAATGCAACCCCACAGAAAGCGCCTAACAATGCTCCTGTTGTTGCACCTGCCAGTTGGATCAACAGCTTCTCAGACACTATGTATTTAGCCTGTTTTCTGATCACTTCCAATGGCAGGTTTCCCGACGACGTGTCGTGTTTGATATACTCCTCCACTGTGCAAATGTATTTCTCCACTTCTTGAAACACCACATTGGTGTAGAAGCTTCCATTGTTGTCCTTCACCATATTGTCTATTGCCTTGAGCAATTCCTCCACCTGGACCTGGTTGCTCGTGTATTCTTCCTGCTGGTTGTCCTTCCAGTATTTATTATCCGTGACATGGCAGCGGCCGCCGCACTTCTTCACCAGATCGCTCAGATTCTTATTCAGTTCGACAAATTCCTCGATTGTCCTCCCTTCAAGCTGTTCGCCGTGTGTGAAGACAATCACAGCATATTTCAAAACATCTTCGGAGAAATACTCGCATATTTTAGTGATGACAGCCTGCTCGTGCTCTGTGAACTTCTCCACTTTAAGCACAATGAGAAAAGCATGAGGCCCAGGAGAGCACTCTGTGATACAACTCACTATCTCCGGCTTCATGTCCTCTTCCGACTTGCATGCGTCAAAGAAACCAGGAGTGTCGATCAAAGTGAGGCTTCTTCCGTTGACAGATGTGGTTTCTGCTTGACACTTCCTTGTTCCAGAGTTGGGAGAATTGTTTGTGGTGAACAATTCCTCTCCGAATATGGTGTTTCCTAGGTTGCTTTTCCCTGATCCAGTTTTTCCCAGCAGGACAATCCTTGTTGGAGTTGGACCTAAAGACATAACAATTATGTTCAGTACATTTGCCTCCTGCTTGTTTGCATTAATTACATTTCAAAGAGTTGCTTTTTTTAGGCTTTTCTGGAAACAGTAACCCAAACATAGTGTGCAGTTTGGTTTAAATACAAAATGACTACTTAAAGATTACATGAGGTTGCTCATATCTGCCATGATACACAGCTACACGCCCACTCGCACTCTCAGGTCAGCTGATCAATTGCTCCAGAGGGTGCCAACAACAAAGTCAAAGCTCAGAGGGGACCGTGCTTTCTCTGCTGCCGCCCCTAAACTGTGGAACGACCTGCCCTCGCTAATCAGACAGGCTCCCACACTGTCTGTTTTTAAATCCCGTTTTAAAACCCAGCTCTTCTCCTTAGCATTCGAAAGTAGATTGATGCTTTTATTTGCGTTCAGTGGTCTATTGTTTTGACTATATGGCTGTTTTTATTTTAATTGTATAAGTGTTGCGTTTATTCTGGTTTGATTTGTGTTCGTACCTTTTATGTGATTTTATACTTATTTTATGTTTTGTTAGCTGAGCTGTGTGAGGAGGTTTTAAAGTGCTTAATGAATAAAGTTGGATTGGATTGGATGATGTAAGGGGGGATCACACTGCTTATTTATCTATAACAAGGTAATAAAGTTATCACAGCAGCCAATCAAACGAATACATCTACAGACCTTCACCCTCATTTGCTCCTCTGGGTATTGTCCACAGTAATAACTGTTACATGTCTGATATGTGTAATAGGTCATGTAAAGCGCTTTGAGCACTTGGAAAAGCGCTCTATTAAATTAAATGAATTATTATTATCTATTTATTTTGTGCATAATTTGCAGAAGCAAAGTCATTTACAAAAAAAATGCACTTATGAACACGTCTTACCACTAAGGTTTAGTTACCAGTAAAGAAAAACATGGCGCAGTACTGAATTTCAATTCTTTGCTTCATCTGTCATGATATATTTACTCACCTTGCACATGCTGGTTCATCCTCATTGTGAATCCTTTGAGTTGGGAAGCTTCCTGGGCAGACTTGAAGGCCTTCAGAGACAAGGAAGACAAAATGTAAACTCAAATATATAGTATATATATATATCAACTGTTACAGTAGCTTGTGTTTATTGCTCAATGGTTTAAGAAATACATGTCATTATACTGATTAGCAATAATCGACTGTGAGATGTACATTTCATTATTTCGTATACATTTGTGGGGTTTCGAAAAATATTTTTTTTAGATAGCAGGTTTTTTAGATGATAGTTGCCCTGTTTGCATCGTGTTTAAAGTCAAACTTATATCCATTACCTCCAAAGAGTCTTCGTCTTCGGGGTGGATGACGATGCGTACCAGGAGAGGTTTCGCGCTGGCTCGGTTCTGTTCAAAAGCAGAAACTTCCTCCAGGACAACCCTCGCTACCAGGCTGTCAGGGAAACGCAGGGCAATCCCTGCCCCGAGTACAGGGAGGGCAACTGATCCAAACCCTCTATCCTCACAGCAAGTTAGGATGTTGTTAATGCCCATTCTCAGAACCTGAAAAGGACAGACAGTATTATTAAGGCTAAACAAAATAAATACTGATTCATGGTGTGGGAAACTGAAAAAAAAAAATGACAATGGAAAAGACTTCTCTGTTTCACCTCAACTGCAGCTCCATCCGGATCCTCGTTCCATGGAGCGAGGTTGAGGAAAATGACTGCATTAGATTGAAGTCCAGCTCGAGCCTCCACCAGGACTGTGTCACCAGGAATAGTTTCTTCATCTGCTTCCTTTCTAAACCTTGCAGTCAGCTGGTTCCCAAAATGTTGGAACAAAGTGTTTCCAACACGGGTAGAAAGAGGATCATGAAAAACCATGGGCGATACCAGGGCATCCACCTGAGAGGAGAGCAGAAGATGTTTTTTCTCATTGAATGTATTACTTATGGTGTTTATATGCATTTATGCTTTAAACATTTTTAAGGTTGAGACTATTCCCCCAATAACCTATTTTTGACAGCGTGTCAGAAACCGTTGTGATAATCGTCACAAAATTGTATCAAAAACCAGAATTGAAACATTCTCTTAAAATCACAGCTTACTCTCTTACCTGTTGGGTCTCGATGGTTCCCTGAATGATGTCTACATGGACACCCCCTCCAGGAGCTCCAGCACTGGCTCCTCTTGCTCCATCTTGGCCAGAAGCATCCATCTGGAACCCCAGATCACTTGGTGCCCTGTTTTCAGTACTTGTTTGGTACTTCACCTCTACTCTGTTATCAATGGGGAGTCTATCTTGAACAAGGGAGTCCAGAATTGGCCCCAGCCTGTTCCTTACCTCAGTCACTTTGCTGGATGGACCTTCCAGCACCACCATGGGCCGAGAGGAAGATGTTAAAGGATTAAAGGTAACCCCTGAATGATCTAGACCATGCAGCTGCAGAAATGCTGGTAACCCATGCACTAACTCTTCAAAAGGCAGACTGACTACACTTTGCACAATAGACTGATCCAAAATAAACTGTATGACAACTTCATTTAGCTCTTCAACCTCTTTGGTGTGGCCCAGTAAGCACACACTGCTGTCAGAGCCAAACACGACCTGAGCTCTGTGTTGCACTTGGTTCAAATCCTTTGTCTTAGACTTAAGCTTTTCCTGAAGCTCAGATGGCACAGCGGAGCAGTAAGGAACATCAATCTTGACTTCCTTAATCTCACATTGCAGTGCCTTTTCTGTTTCAACAAGAATATTGTCAGAAAGGGTTAAGAAACGTAGCTCTGTGTCTCGTAACTCTACTTCCACCTTGCCAGCAACCCCTAAAAAGTCCCCTAGCACACCAGGACCATTATAAGCCTTCTTTAGAAAGGCCAACAAATGTGGGCTCATGTCAGAAACTGTCCTTTGGAACACCAACTTCTCCTGATCAGAGATCCAATCTTTAGCCTTAAGAATATCCTCGACAGAGCCTTCCAAATGCAACTGACCTGGAGCTCCCTGCGTGACCTTCACTCCTGGAAAGTCTTTTTGCAAAGTGTGCTCAATCTCTTTCCACAGGAGGCGGAGCTTAGCCTCGCCCAGTCGACAAATGCAGGTTTGCCTCTCAAGTAAACGTGGCTTTTGTTTACCAAGCAAGGCACCTACATCCATCAACTTGGCGTTCACCTGAGAACGCTGCCCAACAACAACAGCCATCCCATTCTCGCTGTAGACCTTAACGTCATTGGTGGTCTGAAGAGAGTTCCTGGACTCAAGCAAAGCTACAACTTTGTGAGGGTCCACCTCACAGTGGCACAGGTAGCCATCAAAGAGTTGGTCAACCTCTGCTTTCCAATCTCTAATATCATTTTCATCATCAGGTTGAGTGGAAAAGCTCACTAAAACCCTCTCTTCCTCTGGATACAACTGAGCAGAGCAGGACAATGAGGCAAGATCTTTCTCTAATCTTTTCCAAGCTGTGGGACATTCCTTTAGGTAACGAAGGAGGAAAGTATTTTGTTGCAGTTCGTATTTTTCACCACTTGATGGAGGGATTGAGACAGGAATCGACTGTGGGCTCTGTGTTGAAAAGAGAAATTCAAATATTGCAGTGGACTGTTGTCATATACATTTAAACACTTCTACTTATATGGTCATATCTACAAATGTAGAAGTAGTAACTACATTAAGTGGGGGACTATAAATAAGAAAAAAATAATTGTTGTTTGAATTACATATTTGAAATGTTGTGCATACCTGTAGCGGGGCTGTAATATTCTTGTTTGGAGAGGATGTGGGAAGTTCAAGGCCGTCTCGGACAGTGAACACCAGATCCTCCACATCATGAACAGACTTTTGCAGGACTGCCTGCTGGTCTAAGAAATAAAATGTTACATGAGTTATTGTGAGGTTAGAGGGAAATAAGTTCCTTAATTAACAAACAAAGAAAAGATGCATTTTCTTTGATGACACTAGGAAAATAGGGATGAGGGTTGTATTAGTTTTGCTTAATCCTCTATTTTCTTTACCTACATACATACTCTCCTCATTCTCCAACTTCTTTTTATGTTAAAGGCTGAAAGTGAACTATTATTGTGCCATATGAGAAAGTGAAACCTTAACTTAATATATAATAATATGTGTATATTTTGTAGATGTATGTCTTAACTATAACATGGTAATCAGGTTTATATTTGAATATGTTTTCTTATTTAATGTGTTTTTAATTGTAATGTAGGCAGCAATTTTAACTTTCTACAGGACACATTCTTCCCCATGGTAGAGAATAGAATAACTTTACTTTAACTTGATCCCACTCCAACACAGTGTGTTCCAATAATACAGTTTCTCAACATGACTGATAATGACAACAATATATAGTTTGAGGCGTAAAGTTCCGAAGTACATTTACTCAAGTACTGTACTTAGGAAACATTTTGAGGTACTTTACATGAGTATCTCCATTTCCAGATACTTTGTACCTCTACATTTCACAGGTAGCTACATAGTGTACTTTTACTACATTACATCTATTAAATACTATTAGTTACTTTACAGATTTGGATTAATGATTTGAAATATAATCAGTCTTAAATCAGACTTTAGTTACACCTGGAGTAAATTCACAAGCTACCCTGCAGTATACAAAGTCATTCAAACTTTGAAATGGACCAATCTGCATAATTACTACTTATTAGTACTTTAAGTGTATTCTGATACTAAAACTTTTGTAATTTTACTTGAGTAACATTTTGAATGCAGGACTTTGACTGTAACAGAGTATTCCTACACTCTGGTACTTCTACTCAAGTAAATGATCCGAGTACTTCTCCCACCTCTGATATAGACAATATAGACAACGGCTGGTTCTAATTTAATAGCCAGCTGGTCCAGAGTTCAAATATGAATTGTACAAGTTTTTTTCAGATGATTACCGGTCCAAATTGTTCATATAGGTATTAATCATTTTAACAACGTTCAACATATTCGGACGCGCACGCGCACCAACCTCATAATAGCAGGAGTCATGAAGGTTTTAAGTTTCGCTTTCGGGAAAATGAAGCTAAGGGGTTTCCCTGTTTACGTTTGGATCTTGGAATCAATGTTGAATCCGTGTGATCGTATTATATGAGTCATATTATATGTGACATATGTTTACTCTCGACAGTAAATATTATTTTATTATAAAGGTAAATCAAATTAAATCAATGAGTTGACGCAGTTATGGACTATGTTAGTTTAAACATAGGCTGCTTCTAACAGAACAGACATTTGACCGTTATATATAATTGAAAACATGACTGATAAGCATTATTGTGCTTGACTCATGGCCTACCTTTCTGATTTTTAAAAGAAATGCTGTAGATTTGATCGGTCACTTTCCGCACCGATCCGCAGTCTCCTCCGCCTGATCTCCGCCGAACACGGAAATAATTCTCTATTTTCTTCATCTGATCCCGAAGAAGGCTCTGGCACTCAAAGAAAACCGGATATTGGTCAAAATCATCCATAGTTTACCCTGTGGTGAAGACACACATCTGGAGCTTCAGATTTGTGAGGCAGTGTTTTTAATGTCTGCAGCTGGTGGATGCACTGCGCCCCTAGTGGCTACCACCCTGCAATGGAAGAGAAGACATGGATTGTGTAATACTAAACATGAAGAAAAAACTGACAGAATGCTTAATTATTTTAAAAAGAATATAACAAATCTGAACAAAACGCACTTTTTGTTTGGGGTCTATACTTACAATACAAATAAAAAAATACAAATAAATGCTATTTGAAAACTAACGTACTTTGTTTCTAGTACTAGTAAAAAATAGTAAAGTTGTACCTTCCCTTTGCCACAGATTGGACCTAAAAGCATTTCTATCAAACTAAATACATATGTATTTATGTTTTGTGTGATATAATGGGGCATGTATGACAAAAAGGGTTCCTCTTGTCTGTCATAATGTCATTCACAGACATAGAAATGTACAGTTTGTTATCATACAGTGATACTGTGTTCAGTTACACACCCGAGAGGTATCAGAGCAAACCCTGTAACATAAATGTAAATACCTTGGGATGTTTGAAGGGTGCTATATAAAAAGTACTGATAACAACAATCACACATAACGCATAGAAAATAAATTGTTTAGCTGAGGACCCCACAGTGAAGTAATGCTTCATTTGTGTAGATTTCTGAGATATGTTACCTTGAAACATAACAAAAGTTTGTCGTCTAAGACTAGGTACATATCTGATCTCAAGTGTCACCTGACACCTTGATCATGACGGGCCGAAGTCCTGTTACAGAGCAGCTGATCGTCTCTCTTGTTTTTCTTTTTTAAAGTTTTTGCTTTAATGTACTTTGCTAGCCCACACGAAAGGCCAGCAAAGGCCACAATACACTCAAGGGCTGCATCATTTGTGTGTCTAGACAGCTGTATATCTTCCAACATTCAGAGATATTATCTGCTGTGCCAACGATGAGTTATAAATAGCGCAATGTTCTAACCCTCTCTAGTCATCATATTACTAAGTTTCATATTGCCAGTGAAACATTGCTATTCAGTCTTATTTGAATGCTCCAGTTTGCTTTTTCTTATCTCCGTTATAGTTATATTTTGCCAGAATATTGCTGTCTTTTATTTGGACTCAAACTCTTAAAGGGACAGTAGGCTACTTACACAACAGACTACTTGTTCAACAGGGTGCTTTCTGCAGGCTGAACCGCAGCCAATACAAATACATATCACGAGATGGAAACTCCCAAATACCTAATCTATTAATCCGTGGATAATAGAACCACTTCTCTTACAAATACAAAACACTTATAAACTAATTTATTATTAAAAATAATATGATCTAACATGTATGGCATATACCCAGATCTCTTAAGTCTTAAGGGATGAAACATTATTTTATGATAACTGCAGCAGAGCTTTAACTTTAAACCTGCTTGAAAGGTCATACTTTAGAAAAAAGATTCATATCTACTTAAAGGATTATAATTATAAATTGTAGCAAAACTATCAGATGTATTAGTGTATGTGCATTTTCTTTAACAATACAGCCAATAAGTTCTTGAGATTCAAGACAATCTTTAAGAAACCACGCCTGGCTGTTTGCGGTGTGACTAACGCTAGGTGTGTCCTTGCACCTGAGTAACATCTCTTACTTATTAAATGATATAAGCCGATGGTACTTAAAACTGTCAACACGTGTTTGCTTACAAGTGTTCGGTTCAAAGAGAGATCCAGAAACAGTGCAGTTGTGTCTGCATTTGATATTTGTACAAATAATCCAAAAAATACACTTCACAGAGCCAGCCAGCTAACCAATCAGAGCAGACTCCAACCTTTTGATTGCAGGACTTCTTTACTTGTAACAGAGCATTCCTGCACTCTGGCACTTTTAATTGTACTTAAGTCCACGATCTGAGTACTTATATATATTATAATTACTTAATTTACTTCAGGGTAGCTTATGAATTTAATGTAATCTAGATCTGCAAAGTAACTAAAGGTACACAACTGTAGTGGAGTAAAAGTACAGTATTTACATCTGAATTGTAGTGGAGTAGAAGTACAGTATTCAAATCTGAATTGTAGTGGAGTAGAAGTACAAAGTAGCATAAAATGGAAATATTCAAGTAAGTACTTAAGTACAGTACTTCTAAATCTACTTAGTTTAGTACACGTTTGTGCAAGCGTATGGTTGGTTGGTTGCACAGTTAGTGGTGGAAAGTAACTGAGTACATTTACTTAAGTACTCCGGTCTGCATAATGAGTAATTTTACATACTTCAAGTATATTTTGATGCTAATACTTATTGTACTTTTACTTGAGTAACATTTTGAATGCATGACTTTTACTTGGAACAGAGTATTCACTTGTACTTTTACCTCCATGCAGTGTTTGCAGTAGTTATGTCACCAGGGGGTCTTGAGGGGGTCTTTCAGCAGATCCAATCATTTTGAGCAGCAGAACTGACTTTGGTCCAATCGCTGAGCTTCTTCCCTCCGACGTCGTCTCAAGGTATTCACTTTTCTTAAACTACACTCAGGTGACAGTTTATGGTTGGTCTTAGCTGTGACACTTCACATACTTGTTGTTTTTTGCAGGACGGTTAGCTTTGGTGCAGCTGAGTGTTAGCTGCAGAGTTCATGCACCTCTGCAAACGTTCAGCATCAGAGTTTTTTTTAACTTTATTAATCAAGGGTCATTTACAAACAAACGGTGGGAGAAGTACATATCTTGTTCTTGAGTAGTACCAGAGTTTAGGAATACTCTGTTTCAAGTATAAAAGTCCTGCAATGAAAATGTAAAAACAAAATATACTCAAAGTAGAAACATTTAAATAAAAAAAAATGTTGACAATACAGATGTGTTGCATTGTCAACATTGGCCAGCAGATGTCACTCTTTGAATTTAAAATACTTTTTAAATCAACTTTACAATAGCCAATGAAAAGGGGTAATCTTTACATATATCTCTGCTGATGGCCATTTGCATCTATTCCAATGATTATTTCTTAATCCAATCCATATTTAATAATCAAAGCATTTGTGTATATTGCTCTGTAATAGTGGTTGCATTCATCTTCATGGAGGGTGATGGCCGCACCTTTTCATATGGTGTTTTAGGATTGGTGACTGTGTTTGATTTATGGGAACAGACATATTCAGCTGCAGAGTATTAACAGCCAAAGTTAACGAGACAAGAAGCCAGATGTTGTGTACTCCATGCATGTACTGTGTTCTGTGTTCACCTTTTGTTCTCAAAACAATTAACACAAGTTTGCAATATTTGGAAACCTTAGAAAGTCTGATTGAGACTCAATCTGATTGTTAGATATTTTCATTTAAAAAAATGATAGTTGGAGTTAAATGTAGCACGACAAATAAAATACTGAAGCACTTTTATAAGCACACAGTTATTTATTTTTCAGATAACATGTAACAAGAAATAACTTTTATAACAAAATAAAATGTATTAATGGAATCAACTGAACAGCATCTTTAAAGATTTTACAGATTACAAATACAAGTATTAAACATTATCCTGCATTTTCAAAGTCATGGAAAGTATAAAATACATGGTTAGGGTCTATGTCAGATTATTTATCACTCTCTTCTTTCAAAAAGGTCATCCTGCAACAGTGAAATCATATTGAACCCGTAATCACCCTTATGAAAAGTACATTGTGTTTTTCTTTAGAAATTAATCTCAGCATAATAATGTTTTCAATAATTTGTTTGCACATTCAAATGTGAACCAAAACTGCAGAAACATGAAAACAGAATAAAAAAACTACTTCAGGTGAGATTTAAAAAATGCCATTTGACTAAAGTTAAAATAAAACAAAACAAGCAAACATATATCCCAAATAAAACATGAGGTAAGCAACATCAATCAAGCAAAAAAAGGGATGTAAACGCTATCAATATTTGTTATCAAATGTACACTCATTATTTACCCTTTAGTGGCAGAGCACTAATCACACTGACCTCACAGGAAGTGACATCTTGATCACCTTGACCTGAGTTATTTATTATGTAACAATAATAATAATAATAATAATAATATACATATTATTTGTAGCTACTTGGTTTAACATGGTTTACAATTATCAACCTCCTGCTCTACTCTTTTAATTGTGAACGCTTTGGTGACACATTATTAGGACACCGCGTCACCAAAAGGCGGTGCAGCACCCCTGCCGGCGAAGGTTAAGGCTGTCGCGGCGNTGTGAACGCTCTATTTGTTGTTTTGATTTTCTGCTATAACCCCAGATTACTTCTTGAGAGCCTCTACTGTCTTTTTTCTACGGCTTCGCTTGCCGTTTCTGATCCTTCAGCTGCCTCATATCCTTTCCTGAAGCCACTCACCATCCCCTTTAATGCAGCGTGGCGAAACATCTGAAGCACTGTATTGATGCTAATACCTTTGTACTTTTACTTGAGTAACATTTTGAATGCAGGACTTTTACTTGCAACCGAGTATTCCTACACACTGGTACTCCTACTTTTACCTCCATGCAGTGTTTGCAGTAGTTATGTCCGCAGGGGGTCGTGAGGGGGTCTTATGCTTCTTCCCTCGGACGTTGTGTAAAGATATTAACTTTTCTTACCAAACTACACTCAGATGAGAGTTTATGGTTGGTCTTAGCTGTGAGACTTCACATAGCCTACTAGTTGTTTTTTTTGCAGGACTATTAGCTTTGGTGCAACTGAGTGTTAGCTGCAGAGTTCAAGCACCTGTGTTTTTTTTTTACTTTATTAATCAAGGGTCATTTACAAACAAACAGTGGGAGAAGTACATATCTTGTTCTTGAGTAGTACCAGAGTTTAGGAATACTTTGTTTCACGTAAAAGTCCTGCAATGAAAATGTTACTCAAGTAAAAGTAAATTAAGAAACAAAATGTACATAAAGTACCAAAACTAAAATTGAAAAAAACGTGACAGTACAGATGTGTTGCATTGTCAACATTGGCCAGCAGATGTCACTCTTTGAATTTAAAATACTTTTTTTAAAAAGTATTTTAAATTCAAAGAGTGACATCTGCTGGCCAATGTTGACAATGCAACACATCTGTACTGTCACG